GATGTATGTGTCCATAGGACTTCCCAAAGTGTGGCTTTTAAACTAAATATCTGGAGTTCTTCATTAAACCAGACCAGAAAATATTTGCACAAGGCTGAATGTTTCTACTGGACTAGTTGAAAAGCAAACGTTCTCCTTCTCTGCTGTGAGTCACAGCTAACTGTGTCAGTTGCTTCATCATACATCACCCAAATAGTCTGAAGGCTTAGTCATGTCTGCCTTCCTCTTCTGTGTCAGTGTGTTCTGTGCTGTCTTGCCCTTACTGTGTATGTGCATGATGTAAAATGCTTTTGTGAATTTTGGGGTTAAAAAGTGTGGAATGGCTGAGTGCCTGCCGTTCCCGAAACTTGAATCCACTGGGAATCTTTACTGCATGTTTCATTCTGGCCACCTCTATTGGAAGGGATAGCTCTGAGAAATTTTGCCAAAAGCGACTCATCAGTGGCAAGTATGAGTTGTCACTGGTACAGTAATGCAGAAAGTTCACTGTCTCTTGTGCTTGGCTCTGGTGCATTTTTACAGCAGCATCATGCTGGAAGCCATTAGTAATGTTTGTTTACAGGCTTTCCTGTAGGTTCCATTGAGAAAAGCCAAGAAATCTGCTGGTTCTTCTTAATCAGTAGCTGTTGTTTTCTTGGGACAAAAATTAGTTACATGCATCTTGCCCTGTGAGGCTTGGGACACTTCCCAAGTCATTATTGAGGGGTGTGCAGGTGCGTGGGAGGCTTTGAAATCACCACAGCTAACAATGCCAGCCTGAAAATCATCCCTTGAAGCAACATCAGCTCTAATGGGCTGTGCTCAGCCTTCTCTCATGTTGTGCTCTGAAAACAAAACTAATGCTGCATGCAGATGGTTTTCTAGTGTCGGTGAAATTAAAATGTGTAGGTGAGGCTGAGGTTTGTGCAGTTATGTTTCTCTTCCAAGCAGCTGGCTGGAGTATGCCCAGCTACCTGTGTGGTTTCTTTTTGGGGGTAGAATAAGAACATCAGTCAACTCAGTGACTCAAAACAATTTGTATCAATAAGAAAGCAACAACAGTTAAGCAAACCAACAACCAAAAAGTCAGTTTTTATCTGTTCTTCCTGGTAATGCGGTACCATTTGAGTTGGCACGACAAATTAATTTGTATTATTGTACAAAGAAACTAAGAACAGCTATCTAAAAACCAGTGCATATGTTTGCTATACCTTGAGTTCATTTTCCAGTTAACTTTTGGGGGACTATATCTCTCCCATGCATTTGTAAGTTTGGAGATGCCTCAGTATGCTTAATTCTCTCTGCATGGTTTTTTTCCTGTGTGTGTAAGCAGATAATTGTATGTGGATTTTTGATAGGTCTGCTCTTTCTTCTACTGTCAGAGATGGTGTTGACCAAACAGGAAAATCTGTGTGAAGAAACTAAGGATAAATTCAGGTACTGTGTAGTACATGCAGTCCATTTATGTCCATCTCTCTCACTCTGTGGATCCCTCTCTCTCAAAAAAGATATTGTTGCATCATCCAGAGAGTGAATTTTCTCAGCAAGTTGCTCAAATGAGCTGGGGAGGAAGGGGATCAACAGAACTCAATGCCTACAGTTTACAAACTTTAAGAACTCTTTACTTCAATCATTATGAAGACAAGCTGTAAACCAGTAAACCAAATTGCAGAATCAATTAGATTGGAAAAGATCTCTTAGATAATTGAGTCCAAACTGTGGTAAAAAAAAAAAAAAAAAAAGTGGTCTCCTGTCCTCAATTCATCTTGCCTTTTGATACTGTGCAGTTTGATGTGCTCAGATATTGGTGATTGTTATGGAACAAAGCACTGGAACCCCATCATGGAAATTCTGAAAAGTTATGGACGTGAGTTAAGAAAACTCACTTTAATATCTTGATTCTTTTATTTTTAGAGGCATAAACCCCCATAAACTGACACTACTGGTGTGAAGTCAGTTATGGTAAATAGCTCTTGTAGTGAGGGACTTTTGTAATACAGAAAATCACCATCTCTCAATTTGTGCACATTGCAAAGATGACTTTTTTAGGTACACTAAGGTCTCAAAGAAGGTGAGTTTGCTTAGGTCTTAATGAATTTCATTTACAGAGCATCCCAGTGTCAAGTTCTTGAATTATCCCTTAATTAAAAGATCGTTGCTGTCTTCAATTTGAGACTTTGCAAAGCCAGGTAACAAACTGTTCCTTGCACTGCTCAGCACTCTCACTTGGCTGGCTCTGGGCACGGTGACTGGTTGCTTTAGTTCTCATGAAGTGCCTGTGGAATGGCAGGGCTGCAGGTGGCAGCTGGGAGTGCCAAGGCAGCAAAAGCTGGCTAAGAAATTGGGCTTTGGTTATATGGTCTCTCATCTCTAAAATGCTCTCATTTTTTTTTTTTAATTTTATTTTATTTTTCAGGGAACAACTATTTAGTTTACACAAGTCATTTTTGTACCTGTGTTAATCCCTTTTTCTGCTGTAGGTTTAGATTACTTTGAGGTGTAAGGTCTGAGATTCTGATCTGTTTGTGTTTGGGTGCCTTCACACCTCAAGTTCTGTGACAGCTTTAGCTGGGTCCTTACCTCTGAATTATTACTCTGACCATTTTACTCCTAATATACTGACCACTGAACCCCCAAGGTGGGAAATATGGATTTTAGAGTTATCAGTGCATCAGATGTAGCAGAGCTGCCCCAGGTAGAATCAGGTGAAGTGTGTCCAGTACTGGAAGCAGGTTGGTTAAACCTGTGTGTGCAGGGAAGGTGCTGGGGCAGTTGGGCTGCTGTCAGTACCTGAGCTACTCATTGTTACTAATTTTAGGGTGGACAAAGTTCTAGGACAACAGGAGTTGTGAGTAGAGAGGTAGGGCAGGAAAGGATCGGGAGCAAAAATAGCAAAACCCTTTACTGGGCTGTACTCCTAGCTCTTACCTTCATCAGTCCAGGAGTAACAAAATTCACCTCTTACCTAAGATACATCAGGAAAACTTAGAAAAACAAGTGGATTGACAAAATTACTTTGTCTGATGTTTACCACGGCAGACCTCTGAGCTAGGCTGTTTATCTGAAAATAGGATATTTTTTGTATAGTCTTTAATTTTCTATATGAAATGAAATATTTCCTTATGAAGAGAAGGATAAAACATGGGAATGAATTCAGAACGACCACCTCTGAAAAAATTCAATTGCATTATCAGAAATGAAAATGCCAAGATTTTATACGTGGAAGAAAAGACAAGATAATCCAAAGGGAAACGAGCAGTCTGAAAACTCAACACCATCTAGTCAAAATTGTTGTGTTTTACTTAAATATTTTGATTGATATGAAAATATTAGTATATTGTCTTCTGCCTTAGATTTTTTTTTGTTCAAGATAGTGCATTTCTTCTGGCTTTAAAATATAGCTTTACAGATTTTTTTATTTTAAACCACCTGTTGCCTTGTTTCTACTACCCAGTCAGGAATAGGAGAGGGAAGTAACAAAGCCAAATTAATGCAAGTAGCCAGTATTAAGTACCTTTGAGTATTAGAAATACACTTCTGTCTTCCTTGAGATACAGTAAAACAGATGTTACTAAGTCACATACAGCTTGTCAAAGCATGCAAATAATTGAGCAGCTTTTGTTTAAAGAATGCATGTTACCCCAGACAAAATAAACCCCTGTCAGATTCTTCATCTTCATTTGTCATTAAAAATGTTATTTCCGTGTTGTTCTCTTTTATTGTAAAATAAAAGTAAATCCCCCAGTAAATCCCACCACTCTGTTTGGGCTAGGAAGTGATTCATGTGCCCTGTTTTACCCTGGATACTCCTGACTGTGACCTGTTGGGTGAGGCAACAGCCCCCAGACTGTTACTGCTGGTCTGAGCTGCGCTGGCAGAAACAGAACTTTGAATAAAAAGGCTGTTTTGCAGTCGTGGGAGCAGATCAACAGGTCTGTGAGTGGGTGGGAAGTGGGGTGGGTAGGTGGTTAAGTGCTGGGGCAGTGAGGAGGAGAAGGGTAACTGGTTTCATGGAACAACGTAAGTTCAACTATACCTTTCTAATGCAACCAGTGTTTCTCTGAACAACAATGGAAAGGGTGATATCAGACATGACATGTGAAGTATTTGTCAGTAAAACTTTTACTACAAAGTGTTTTGAAACAGTTGAAAATTTTTAAACCCCCATAAATATATTGGATGTTTCTGGGTAAACTCTGGTGCCAAAGCATGAAACATCTGTATGAGGATCTGACCCTGGAAATGTGAAACAATTGAAGCAAGTGTTGTTTCTAAGGTGTTAACATTTGTGCAGTGCCTGTTGTGGTGGAATTCCTGATTATGAAATACAGACTCTAGAAATTACTGGGGAGCCCAGGTTTGGCATTGTGGTAGAGTTTGATCCTTGTTCCAGCATGGCCAGTTTAAATGTCATCCTGTCAGGTGGATAAATGACATGTGAGCAAGGATTCTGGATACAGAATGTGTGAACATTTACAGAACTAGTGGAAGATCAAGTATTTGATTCTCCCAAGACATTCTGCTAGAGATGAGAGAACGTCTCTTCTCAAATATAGAAAATGAACAACTGAACTAAAACACCTGGAATATTTTTTGCATGTTCAGTCAGATCTAATTGTTACTAAAATAAGCAAGTGCAAAGTGTTTCCAGCAATGAAAAGAACTACCCTGTTGGGCAGGAAGTGGCATTTATTCTTGCTTGTTATTAGGAGGCAAAGATTTGATATTCCTGGTGACTATGAAGATTAAACCAGAGATTTATGTTAATGCAAAGGATTAAAAGAATTTTAATAACACTTATAAAGATGCAAATGTTCGCCTGCATTTTATCTTTTTTGCAGATGAATGTGCCATGAGGGAAATATTGAAGGGGGAGAACACCTCCTCACTCCAAATTGCCACATCTGGTTTAATACTGCTCTCACATGGTCATTAAGTATTAGCTGTTTTCACCAGTGTGTTTTTGAACAGTGGGAGTATGATTAGACTTACTCCTAAGTTAGTTAGGGGGGAATATCAGGAAACGGGAATCACCATCCAGCTTCCAACACATGGTGCCTGTTTAGTGTGTGGCTGCATGCCTTGCAGATTTCAATGAACTGTAAATATTACTTAGTGTATTTTTTTCCTTGCTACTCCCTCACTTTCAGACTTATTTTCTAACCAGCAAAGGGCTTGAAATACTGGCTCCACTGTGGGACTGCCAGCTGCCTTACCCTGGTTTGAAACTCTCCTCCCAGTGCAAACACAGGCCACACCAGCATGGAAAATTCTGTGCTTTATTTGGGCACCCTAACATATTATACATATATGTACATACATTTCGTATGGAGAAATTATAGAAAAAATATGATTTGAAAAAGGAGGCAATTAAGGTGAAGGTGTAAACATCTGTTTATGTTCTATTTTGGGTTTTTTTCCTGCTCTTCAACCACTTGTCCACTAACAGATAAATGTATATAAACGGAAACCACCTGGATTTGTTATACAATTCAACTGATGTGACTGTGGAAATGTCCCAACTCTCAAATCAATACAAATCTTCAAAGGGTTTTGAGTAGTTAAACATCAAGTAATCCATATAGTAGAAGTCGTAGCTCTGTTGTCGTTGGGAAGGAGAGAGCTGTGCAAAATACTGCTGTGTAATTTTCGTGGTGGTTCTTTCTTCATTGGAGTGCCGATCTTTGAACTTGGGGAAAGTCAAATTTTGTGGAGCACCGATTAAGTGCAAGAAAAAGTTTGCATCTTCTTCCATGCTCTCAAATTTCCCCACGAAGTCGTAGTCTATCAAACACGGGCTGCAAAGCCTGTTGACGTGATCCCAGTGTATATCCATACCCACTGGCCTATGGACATCCAGGAGGTACTGAATGAACTCTTTAAACTTGACTCCAGAGCCTGTCCTTAGTGCTTCTTTGGTGGCATTGACCCGGTACCTGGAGATGATGGCTTTTCCAAACACCGGGTGGTAGTAGTTGTTCGGATGCTCAAACTTGTCCCGAAACGCAGACACCAGCTTTTCGAAAGGCTCACGGATAAACAGCATCTTTGTGTAAGTGTTGAGCCTGTGGTAAATTCCCTTGTGATCAAACCCATCCAGCCTTTTTAAGTAGTTCCCGTAGTGCACTGTGTTGTGCTGGATATCTTTTGTGGAAGAAGCCAGGCCATTGAGCACCATGAGCACCCGTTTCCAGTTCGAGCAGCCAGCTTTTGGTACCTCACAGTATAAAACTCTATATTTATCCTCTACAAATATCCTAGAAACATGGTAAGGAGTGATTATTCTTCTGTTATTACTCTTGTATTTTGAGCAGGTTTCCCTCATAATCCGCTTCCTTTCTCCTTGGATCTGATAGAGACTCCTCCACTTGTTGTTGTTTCTGTCCTCAGATTTAAGTGTGGGCAGGTTGAGAACAGAGCCGTTCATGGAAATCAGAATTGGGCTCTTTTTAATTATAAACCTCCTCCTGCGTTTATGGAGCATGATGGATTCAGTTTCTTCACCTTTCTGTTGATCTTTCACAGCAAACATGATGCTGCTTTGCCTTCTGTCTGTGCTTTGAAGCTTAGTGGGCACACTTTCAGATGGCTCTAATGAATCGCTCTGCCTTACTGGTGCTGCTCCATCTGCGGCGTTTTTTCTTAATCTTCTATCCTGGTTATTGCTGGAAACACAGTCCTGATGAGGAAAAAGAGATTAAAGATGTTAGTAAATGAGGGACTGTCACCATTAACAGCTCGCAACAACTTCACGTGGATCTTTTATACACTCTGAGTTCAGCAGATGCATTGCCACAAACCCTCAGCACTGTGCCTGCAGTGTGGTAAGGGCTCTTCTCTTGTCACCTTGTTCTGTGCTCAAAGAAATTCAAAGGCTGAGATGAACCTGAACTGGTAATTTCCAGTTCAGAATTGAATTCAACTGCGTTTTAGGTGGTGCACCCAGACTTTGACAGATACTTTTGTCTTAGACAAGTTGTCCTTGAATTTCTATAAAAGGTATCTGAGTATTTTGAGGACTTGTTTAGTTATTCCAGGCTGCCCCTGTTGCCACACAAATTGAAGGATTTGTTTGTTTGTGTGGCGTTTCCCACCCTGACCCTCCACTTCAGGAGTTCATCTCTGCAGTGAAGGCAGTTTTGCTCAGAGTGAAGCCTGACAGGGAAGGGAGGAGGTTTGTAGGGTTGGTAAGGTGGGGTGAAGATGAAAAGGGAGGAAGAGTAGGCAGAGGGAAGCAGAAAGGACTGCAGCGAGGACTTGGAGGCTTGGCAGGCAAGCAGTGGGTTTTGTGGGAGCAGCATGAAGGGGCACCCCAAAGGGAGGGACAGGAGCCTGGGAGCAGAGCAGCTGAGACTGGATGAGAAGCAGGAAGGGGTGGGAATGAAGCCTGGCTGGGATTAGGTGAGTGAAAGCTGAGCAAGTAAAGCAGGTCAATGGATAAGGGTTTCTGGGACCTGCTCTTTTTCATTAGAGGGATCTTGCTGGTTAATACTTCTTTGGCTTAAAGCCCAGATGTGCTCCATTACTTTCTGCTTCTCAAAGCAGCTGAATTAAATCCTGTCTGGTCTGTGCCTCTAAGACTAAAATTAGGTTCTGGACACTGTTTAACTACATGTCATCCCTGTGTTGAGGACACCTGGGAGCAGAGTGGCATATGAACCACCAGGGATTATTTCAACAGAGGAGCAGATGTAGTTACAGAATGCTTATTGCTGACCCAAAGTACTTAGTGGTTAATTAGAGGTTTTCTAAATTTAAATTTTTGATTTTCAGTCTTCATTTTTTCCCCAAAGTATTTAAAACTGGCTTAAAAAAAGGTACTTTGCAAATTTTAAGGTGTACAGTATGGGGATTAGAAGGGTTATGCTCTTTCAAGGTGGCAGATTAAATCAATTTAATTAATTTTACAGGTCTTTGTTGGCCAAAAAAGCCAATGTTATAGGTAACAAACTTGCTGTCATGGAGGTTATACCTTGTCATATTCTTGTTTAAGGGTCAGACAATGGACAAGCCTCAGAAAAGAGGTTCAATGCTCATTACAAAAAGCACTGGTGACAAAAGAAAAGAAATCAAAATGTATTATTTTGTCATGACTTGCTTCAATTGATAACTTATACAAAACTCAAGCACAACAGATCAGTATTAAACACAAGTTTTAGGGTACTGTTGCAGAATTCAGGCTTCTCATGCTGGCTGCCCTGGTGGTGAAGGTGGTATGTGATGTGCAGACATGATAATTTGTCAGTTGTTGGGAGTGATTACTGTACTCTGCTCTGATCTTCAGACATTGTTTCTGGCAGTCAAAGTGCACGTGCTTGTAAATCCCAGATCTATTTCTAAGTATTACCCTTTGCAGAATGGTTGTAATTCAACCCCACGTTTACTCACGACAGGGCTGATGTTTCAAGCTTATCAAATTCAGGCTTCCTAGAAATGTGGACCTTTAATGATGGCGAACCTGGAGTTTTTGGGAAACTCCAGTGCCATGATTTGAATGTCTTCTGTGGGAAGGCCAGGCTGGAGCTGCAGAGATGGGGAGGTGTCGATCACATCCCATTGACTGAGCAGGCCGTGGCACTTGGGGAAGGACTGGCAGCTGCACAGTTTTCCTCTGCCCTTTAACTGTGAAATCGTGGCAGCTGCTCAGTGCTGACAGCCACTAGATGGGGGAATTTCACCAGGATTCTTCTTGAGCCTCTCAAGACGTTCATTTGATCAGTACCATTTCATACAGAATATTATTATTTGCAAAGTTTACAGTATCTTTTAGCAATATTCAGCCTAGGGGAAAAAAAAAGTATAAAACTGAAGTTGTGTAGCTTATCAAATTCATATTTGAAAAGGAAAATTTGCATTCCATGGCAAAGCTTTTGATGCATCTTTCCTTCTCAGTGCTTAATCTCTGATGTAATGGCCTTATCTGAGCCATCTCTACCTACTCCATACTTGGAATATGGATACAGTTTTCCTTATGTACTTCTGAAAACTTACTTTTTTTGGTTGCTGGAATCCCATGTTATATTTTATCCCTAAACAAAGAAAGAAAGTAAAGTAATTATTTAGAAATAAAAAAACCCCAGTAGCTTCTTTTTCTGCTAGACTGATACCAGTGTGTCCTCTGGTAGCTAAAAGGAAAACAGGAACAAGTTTTGTTAGTGCAACGATAAACAGACCAATGGTGAATCATAACTGATGTATATTTCATAGTAACATTACTCCTTGGAAGGCCTCTTTATTTACAGATGTCATAAAACATGTGAAATGCAGTGAATGTCTCTATGTCCCTCTTACAGATGGTGAGACTGAGATGGAGAAAAGTGATTACTAAACCCCAGTTCAAAGGCCAGTTGCAGAACAAGAAAGCCATGATTCCAGATTAGAGCCCTAAAAAAAGGGCTGTTCTTTGTGTATTTGCAAGAGTAAATGTATGGTTTCTCCCCCTGCAACTTTGGAGGGTATGGTGATTAATCACAGTGACATGGAGCACTCTCCTCTGCTGTGAAACCACAGCAGCACACGGTGGAGTTGTGTACAATGAGGCAATGTTTGCAGACTTTTGGAGAGACAAACAATACAGAATTGTGTTCTGTCTAATCTTCTGGCTTTCACAGTGATGTTTACCTGAAAATAGAATAATAAAGATGTGAAAATCCTAGATGACAGCTTTAGCAGGTGTGTAGGACCTCTTTACTGTTCCTAACCTTGCTAAGTATAACTTGATAATGCAGGAATGCATAATGGAAAACACAATTATGAAATTTGTTTGGGGCTTTCCAGCTGATAAAACTGTTATCATCACTGTCACTGTTGCTTGAAAACCTCAGTTTAATAACTCTGGAGAATCCACAGCCTTTTGGACTTGTTACAGGTAAAGGTAACGAGTGTAGGATGAAGTAAAAGCACCACTGGGATGGCTCAGTCCCCTCAGGTTGATTTTTGTGGTACTAGGAGAGCTCTCACAAACACCTTGCAGGACAGTTCACATTGCAGTAAAGTAGCTTAGGTGATCAGTCACACTTTGCCTTTAAAATCAGATCTACAAACTGGTATTTGTAGTAGAGCCCAAGTAAAATTGCTGTGGTTATTACTGTGCTCTAAGAGCTCATTGAACTGTGTTCATGATGGTTTTGGTTCATGTTTGAGCTTTAACTCCACTGCAGCAATTTGTTAGCAATAAACTCAAGTGAAGGTGGTGTGGGATATTGTGATTCTATGCCTACTAGAAGTAAAGGGCATATTATTTTTACTTTATCAGAAATGAGTTCTAGACATCTTGCAGAAGGAGTCTTTAGCCTTCTCCTGGCTGCTTCCCAGAAGTGTTGAGCTGTAAATTAAAGTAGGGAGTTATATACTAAATAGAGCTGGCCTATAGCATCCTTCTGTGGGCTCTGGGGGATTCAAACTGATTCTTTTGCACCAGACTTCAGGAGATGTTACTGAGCTGTTGTCCAGTTCCTGATGTGATCAGGGAAAACCCCCACATTTACTCCTCTGTTGTGTAATATGTTACAGAGCAATGCAGGACAGGAAACTGCTGTCCAAAAAAACCCATCAAAACCTGAGCACAGCACTCTGAAAGCACTGATATTAGAGCGAGGGTGATCTGTTTATACCATGAGAACAGTGTATTTTCCAGCAGATGTAACCCCTTCTGTCCTGCTAACCCTAAGGGCGTAATTTTAAGCCATTTGAGGTGCTTGGTCTTTGCTCTAAGGCATCATTAATTCACTGGAGTAGTTGCTTAACTCATAAGATAGGGAAGTTCCACAACTCTGTTCCCTTTCCAAAAGCATTTTGAGCTTTTTGCAGCTGGAAACAGAAACGGGTGGGGAAAGACTTTTGGTCACTTCTCAGAAAACAGCAAGTACCTTGGATGGAATCAGCTGCAAATATTGGAGCACTTGCTGTGTCCAAATTATACCATAAAAGTTAGGGTTAGTTTTTTGCAGTTGTGGTAATTTGTCCTGACTTTAGGGGAGCTGTGATACCTTGTAGCAAATCCACACACTTTGTGCAATAATGTTAGATTTGGTATGTTTCTGACCAAGAACTGTTAAAAAAATCCCACAAAACTGCAAAGAACAGGCATGAGACCCAGCTATTTTGTGGTTAATTTTGACTGATTATGTTTTTGGAGTAGTGTTTCACAGAGGTAATTTTTTTGAGAGACTAATACTTTCTATTGATATGCACTGCTTTAAAAAAAATTAAAAAGAAATGCTAGTAGGAGTTGAGTAAATATTTAAAAAGATGTTTTTTTCATTTACTGGCTTTAAGATGTAATCAGAACAATAATTCATGCTTAATGTAAATGTTTGGGGAAGCACTTGCCAATCTCTCCAATGTTTTCTGAATTTGTGACATCTAAATTTGGCTTCTTTTAGCTGTCTTTCTCATGATACAGTCTGTCACTTCAGATTTAAATCTACATGAAAAAACCCTCTGAAGTGCAGTGAACTTGGGGAAGTTAGATTGCACTGTATTAATCAAAATCTAAATTTAATGTTATACTACATGTTTACTATCCACGTTTCTTACCACAATGCTATTGCCAAAACGGGAATATTTTTGGCCCTAAATTAACCACTGGTTTCTGCTGCACCCAGCTGCAGGCACTGATTCATAAATGTTTGGTGCCAGACATGAGGATGACCATCTCAGGGCTGCTCAAAGACAGAGAGAAGAGCTGAGAGACAGGCTCGTTCTATCAGTTGTGTGTCTTTTACATTGATTTTCACGGTGTTCTTTTCTCCTCCCCTTGTGTGACCATGATTTTCCAGACCCGAGCCTGACCTGTATTTTATATCTGCTTTTGTTTCTCATGAAATATGAGCTTCGTGCTCCATTCAGTCCTACCATGCAGTGAAACCCACTGTGAGCTTTTCTTTTTTTTCTCTTTTCCAAATGCTACTAGAAACACAATAAAATGGCCTTTATCTTCCCTGTGTAATGTTATTTAGTTTTACCTCTCTGCCTTCTCCTGTCTCTGCTTCAAGACCTAATTTTGTTTTGCCTCTGGTGTTTTTCTCTGTTTTGAGACTCAACTACAGCCGAAATATTTTTTCCTAAAAATGATAACTTCAAGTCTGCCTCTGCAACTCAGCCCTTACTGGGCTTCTGTACACAGTGTGCACTTGTTTGCTTCATCTGAATGGATTTGTGAAACGTCCTCTGGGAGGGCTCTTTCAGTCATTTCATGTGTCAATTGTCCTCTCCACACACGCCTCAGTGTTAGGTCTTTACTCAGAGACAACAACATGGACTTAATTGCAGAATTAGTAATAGGGTAGTACTCAGAATTCTGACAAGCATGAAAACAGTCTAGTTTGAAAAGGATTTCCCCCAAAATACTGCTCAGATAATTCTTTTCCAGGTGTGGTTTTGTTTGTTTGTTTGTTTTTTTGTGTTTTTTTGGTGTTTTTTTTTTGGTGTGTGTGTGTGTTTTGTTTTGGGTTTTTTGTGTAATTTAAAATGATCTCTTAGCTTGTACAGTATAAAGGACATGCCCACATCTGGTCATCTGATCCTAACTTACTCCGGTGTCCACTTGTTTACACCTTTGAATTAAATTACTCATTAAAGAAACTTATTTATTTTAAAGATTGCTACCTTGTATAAATTATTTGGTTTTACTTACATTTTAAATGCAGATGTAATGTACACATTTGGAACACTTTTGAAATATATGAACCTCTAAAATGAAAGCATTTCTTTTTTAAAAATTGAGGCCTTACTAATAGCACAGACTTTACATGTGTGTATGTTTTAATTATTTGATATGTACATGTTCTTCTTCTAACTTAAATTTGTAGTTTATTTCATTAGGAAAAATGCTGTCAGAAGTTCCATCAAAGCTACACACCCAGTATCTCATTTTAATACAGACCAATTAATGAGGCCAAGTAAAGAAGAGGTAGCAAAGCAGTAGCACGTCAGAAACTGCATCAGGAGAGAAGCAAAGCTGTGCAGTGAATCTGTACAATCTGATTTCTCCCCAGTGAGGCTGTGGGTGTGTGGTGTCACCTCCCACAGGTGGATAAACTCCTACAGGGAATGCTTTGCTTAAGTGATGCACCTCGAGCCCTTGTCAAAGGCAGGATTGAGGGTTATTTCCTCTGCACAGAGCAGAAAAGGTGGAATGTTTCTGTGGCTCCTTCCCAGGCTCCAAAGTAGCCCTCTGGAACTCTGAGTAGTTAAGTGTGACTCTCTGATAAAGAGCTTCTTTCCCCCCTATTTTGGGAAGGCGTAAGAAGTTTGCCAAGCTGCCAAGGATTGGAATTTTTAGTCTCTTTGAGCCTTCTTTCATGGGTGAGTTCCTTTTGTAAATCAGGTAACACATTCTTCCTGAGTTCTTAGCTTTTTGTTTCAATCCTACCATTGCCAAGCCTGCGACTTCTAATAGTTTAAATGCAATCTATTTGAGGAAGTTTGAACCCTGACTCGTGGCTTATTCTAAAGCAGTTGTGCTGGAGCACTTCCCAGGAAGATAGCCTCGTTTTCCCCTCTCCTGTGCTCGCATTGTGCTAACACACAATTGCTTCCTATTGATCCTGTGCTTTTCAATCCAAGTCAGCTTCAGAGGGGCGACTTTGGAGCTCAGTGAAACCATGGGTGTCATCCCTGAACCAGGCAAATCTGTGGTTCCACCATGCCACAGGCAGCAGGCACTGCAGCCTCGTGCTGCTGCACTTGTGTGGTGGGATGCCTGTGGTGGTGGCAGCTTGTGTGCACTTCAGTTGATTAAAACACGATTACTCTGGCTTTTTGTAACTGAAATGACTTTCCATCTTAATGAAGCAAGGGAGTCTCTGGACAGAAGTACTGTGTGTGGGGAGGGCAGTGCAATTCTGAAGGGCACACCCTGGAAATAATTAAAAACATTCGGTTAATCCACCAGTTTGAACAAGAAAAAATTATAAATCGGGAAGCCAGAGATCAGTACACACATTAAGTGACTTTTAATATTTGCCACTTGAGGACTTCCATACTGTCAAAAACTTGGTATTCCCAGTTGGTTTGTGGTCCCAGA